TTATATAGGGGATGCCAATTTTTTTATTCTAGTTAACATTTTTTGAACTTGTTGATTTTCCAAGCCATTAAACTTTCTATTCCAAACAATTTACAATGATGTTTTTATTGTTGCATGCAGCTCTGTGTTAGGGAGTTCATTGACAACACACCTACTTGTGTAGGTTCAAGTATATTATCTACTTTGGTGTCTTCTATAGCATTTTTCTGTAGTTCAGTTTTTTGGAGTTGTTGATTAGAGGATTATTCATATCTTTAAATATTGAATATTCAAATCTATTTATAGTATATAATATTTAAAAGATTATACTCTATATATTATATTAAGAAGTATTTATAGATAATAATATTTATTTATACCTAAATATACAAAATATAAGGTAAAAGGAGGTATTTTGGCAAAGTTGAAAAAATTAATATAATTTTTTTTTATTTTATTATAATTTTTTTTTATTTTAAATTTAAATTATATATGTATTTAGAATTATTTATATATAAAATTGGTAATATAGAAAATTATTTGGAAGAAGCAATTTTTAGAGTTGTGTACTGTATAAAAAAGTTAAATTTTAGAGGGGGTGGAGATATTGTAGCGAATTTAGATTGTCTTGTTATCTAGTGATCCAAATCAGATAATTTTTGTACTATTCGATTCATCTCATCAAGATGAATTTAATGGTGGTTAGATTATCTAATTCTGATCACTGGATCACGAGATATTAGTGATTATGTGAATCACCAAAATTTTATTGTAATTCCCTCAAAATTATTTTGGCATTGCATATAATCATTAATATCTCGTGATCCAGTGAACAGAATTAGATGATTTAACCACCATTTGAATTGCTTCTATAAGACAAATCAATTGGTATAAAAATTATCTGATTTGGATCATTAGATATGAGATAAATGAAATTCACCACAATACCCTCCTTTACCAAAATACTCTCTTTACCTTATATAACTAATAGCATTTTTTTTTATATAGTTAAGGTTAGCCTCTTTGGCTTAATGCTTTTATTAGATTTGTAGAATCATGTAGTGCCCTTATCAGGGGGCCTTCAGACAAGTACATGTTGATAAAGATATATTCTAGCCATATCTGTACCTTTTGAGCACCTATTTAAGTAGTTTGCCTATTCTAGATCTACACTAGATGTGTATCTGTAACCCATCTATTACTTGAGTTAGATAATTAAACCTTTTGATCTGAGTTTTCTATGCTAATCTATCTAACTAATCTCCCAGTTAGTGTTTGAAAAAGTTAAATCAGATCAGATTCAGATATATAATAGATTCGAATTTTTCATATAACAATTTCGAATTTATCACATAATATATCACAATATATTTGATAAATTTCAGATTAACCGTCGGATTGACCCTGGATTGGCCCCAGATCAATCTGAATTTTGGATTCGGATTGGATTCAGATCAATCCTGGATAACCTGAGATTTTTAATCTGATTTCAAACACTACTCCCAGAACATGCGATACATTAGTCAGTCCAAGTTTCAGAATTGTTGCGAACCACCTATAGGACTACTGGCTTGGTTAACTAATTCAATCTCAAGTGTATCATCTGTTAGAGCCACCCATTATCCATGTCTAATATATTGACCTAGTCTTTCTTTAGTCTAAAATTACCAAATAGATTCTATGCCTTTACAGGCAAACTGCATCACCAATTCTTTCTACAAATATATTAGCTAGATAGGTTTTAAGTCTTTACAGGCAGGTCACACTGCCTAATATACTTGCTCTTATAAAATTCGCCCAAACCTCAGTACTCACTTTACAAACTATCCACCATACTTCCATTACCCTAATTTCCAATCCAAATAGCCAGTAGGGCTATACCTGCTCATGGTTCCCATGGCTGGGTCCTTTTTCTCTAGTTACTTTCTGGTGGCCTGGTTGGTGGAATGCTTTTCCAAACACTTCGGTCCCATTCAGTTCTCATTGCTTTTAAAAATCTGTGCTATCTCTCTATTCAGAACTTCTCAAATAGGCTTCTATATCCCATTAATCTGCTAGATTTACTCAGTAGCCTCACTTGGATTTCATATAACTTATACATCACACTAAATGTTTTACTACCTCCAAGTACAAGCTGGTGTGACCCCATAACAGGTTTTATAACTCAATAGAATACAGTCTTCCAAATGTATTCTGTAAATTCAAATTTTCATTCATTGGTAGGATTCAAACTCTTGTTCTGCCGCTTGGGGATGTGACAACTTACCAACTTCACTAAGTTGCCACACCCTACTGATAGCATTTTTATATTTATAACTATTTATCAAAACAACTATATATAATAATTATATTTAGTAATATAATACAAATTACTCTATTACACCTCTAATAATTTTAGACTATATACAAACTGCTCTTTAAATTTCTAACTTATTGCAAATAATTAAATTATCTTAATTCCAATTAATTTAGCTACTAAGTTTCCTAGACGAATAAATTCACATAACAAAGTACTTAACCTTAATACAAATTACTTAATCACTTATTTTCTATTACTATACAACACCCTCTCCAAACTTTGACAATACTAATATTTCAATTTTTACTTTATCTATCCCATTACTTTTTAAAAATTGCCTTTTAATAGAGACTCTACAAGCTTTACTAACTACAATTCTAACCTACCAGAACTTTCATTTTAGACAAATGACTTAATAATACAGTTAAGCTTATCTTAATGCTCTATGGTGTTAACATTAGAAAAGAAGCTATTTGAAGTACAACTTCACAAACATCAATCCAATCAAGATGAAACTACTACCATTAGAACCAGCTTATTAAAATGAATCTAAAGGTGATAAGTTCATCCAAATTCAATCACAGAGAGCTGAGATATTATCAAAAATGTGATTTGACTAAATGATTTATATGTAGATCACATGTGTTACAATCTGATTGGCTGATAATTTACTGCGCGAAATGTTCTACATGTAGTATATCTATTACATGTCATATTTGTAGCATCTATATTATTTATTTTACATATCATATATATATTATTTGTGTTATATATAGTATCTGTATTATATATATTATATATCTTATTAGTACTATTTGTAATGTATTCTAATCAATTCACTGACAATTATTTCACTGAACACTTATTTAGCTAATATCACATAGAGTTAGAGTTAAGCATTTGATTAGTTATAGGTATATATTTTTACTAAATTTTGCCTGCCATGATGTCAGCTAAATGAGCTGTTGATGAAGTGATTGTCAGTAAAATAATATAGACCCATTTGTAATATTTGTAGTATAGATACTAGATATAGACTATTACATTTTTAAAAAATTAAAAAGTATAAAAGTAGCAGATGTAAACCTTGAGTTCAATATGAATCGACCAGGGTGGCCATCAAATTTACTGTCACATGAGTAACGTCACTGCCGCAGTGCAACCGCCAGCCAATCAGGTTCCAAGATCAGGTGTAATGTGAAGAAATGCAACGAAATCGGTCAAAACTCAACATCTTCCCCATGAAACTGCTTTCTATGCATTAACCAAAAGTTTTCCTTGCGAAATTTTGGTATTAAAAAAACTTTCTAATCTAATTTAATAGCAAACCCTAACTCTGATTTAATAGTTTTAGTGAAATTTTTTAAGTAATGCTAGAGTTATGCAGAGTAGAAATTAATTTACTGTGAATATTTGTACGCGTGAAAAAACTATCGGGGCACTTGTATAATTTGCCTATTGAGCCTTTTTTTTTTTTTTTTACAAGTTTTGCTATTTATTATCCTAATAAAAATCCTTATTTATTTCTCGATGACAATTTTACGTCAAGATGAATTCTCCATATAACAACTTTAATATCTCTTTCTCATAATTAGACAATCATAAAATTTCCATTGTTTGAATTGTGTTTTTTTACACCAAGAAGCTTCACAAATTCATATATTTCTAATCCTTCTATGGTAAACCGATATTTATATTTTATATTGGAGGATCCATCACCGTCTTTAACCGTATATTCTCTTTCGTACATTAAAATTATCCTGGGCAATCCATAGTTGTACGCTCGGTAAAAGAATTAACGAATTGCTTAATTATATCAAGTTTTCTATTATGTGTTGTATAATCTTATATACTCACAATCAGTATTTTTGAATCTAACTTTTGTTTGGTACTTGTATCGTCGGATAGATAGTAGTTTTGAAAGTAAATAGAGGGATCACCTTTGAATTGAATAAAACGATCATACCGCATCGCTTAAAATAACTTTCTAGACTTGCACAATTTCAGTAATTTTTTTATTGTTTTAATAATTTAATATTACTCAAGTTTGAACAGATAAGCAAGTTTGTAATTGTTGTAAAAGGCTACAATGGATTGAAGCGTATGATTTTGTTAAAACCTTAAACCATATATCACATAATTGATGTATCACGATCATAATTTGCAATTATTGTGCTTTAAGCTACGCGATTTAAGTTAGATTGGAATTCGACTTACTATTCTGGTAATCATTGATTTTAAAGTGTTGGATAGCTATACGTGAAACGGTTAATATCCAAATATTGTAATTATAATGTAAATGCTTTTGTTCAACTAAAATTAGCTTGATCAAAATTAAACCACCACACCATGTTTATTCGTTTGTAATTGTTATGCAAGGTTTTTTTGATACAAATGAATTTGGTTGAACTAACTGCTATTGTACATTTAAATTATTGTGTTGACAATTTAAGTAAATATATATTAAAATAAAAAAATAAAGAAATAAAAACAAAGGCCAGTTTATTAATAAAAACAAAAGCTTAAATAAATATTCTTTTTAAAAATTTTAACATTGCATACAATTGTCTATATGACTCGGTTAGAGTGTTCAGACTTTCACAATTTCAGAATTCTTATTGTTAAAATAATGAAAAATCCCTAAATCGCATAAGTCTGAACACACTAGTTTCAGTCACTTTAATAATTATCTCTTTCTAATAAATATCGCATGCAATCCATGATGGAAAACGAAAATATTACAAATATTAAAACTGAATACCTGAAGAGTAAGCATCCAGAACCCATTAACGTAAAACTTATCCACAAGCTATTTTACGCAAATGACGATATCTTGTACAATGTGCGGTAAAGACCGTTCTGAAGATCAATTCTTTTGGAAAGATTCTTACTACAAAACTTGCAAAGTATGCAAAGAAGATCGTGATCAAAGGAAAAAAAAAAAGCCAACTACAGTCCCCAGTTCAACTACTGATTTGGTCGAACAACCTGAAAATATTGACCATAATAATATTCATAATATTATAGATGCTGATAACATTAACCATAATAATATTCATAATATAGACACTGATAACATTGAACGTACTGAAATTGATTGCCTTGATGTAGGTGACTTAATTGAGCATGAACTCAAAAATCTGACAGCCAACGCAGTTTATCAGACTCGTCTATTAGTGAATATAGATTTAATTTCTGACATAACGGCAAAGGAGGTTGCTTCTTTTGTAGTTGCTGAAATAGAAGGTGGCGATGATTATTTGTAGAAGTAAGTATTATTATAAATTATGTTTTTCGCGTTTTTTTTTTTTTTTTTTTTTTTTTTTTTTTTTTTTTTTTTTTTTATTTTTTTTTTTTTATGTTTTTAAATTGGCCCCCAATTGTCGCATCCACGGTGGG